TGGGGAAGGGCATAGTCCAGCTGGGCATTCAGACGAAGACCCAGGCCCATCCCTTCTTTATCCTTATGGCACACAGGGAGGAATGGAGAAGGGAGCAATGTGGGTTGTGTGGCTTATGGGGGAGGAAAGGGCCCTAATTCCCTTCATTAGCCACAACTGGGAAGAGAGTTTAAAAGAGATGCATGCTGCATGTGGCAGGGTGCTGGGAGCAAATGTGGCTTTATCTTGCATTGTCGTTGCTTATCTATGTTCCTGGCATCTTTATTTATTTTTATTTTATTTATTTATTTTGATTTGTGAATCGCTTACAAGATAATAGGTATAAGTATATACATAGTTATGAATACATGAAATGGGTACATATAAAAAAAATAAAAGAAACAATAGGACAGGGACAGTAGGCACGTTGGTGCGCTGATGCACACCCAATCTTCCCAATAGTGAGAGTTTTGCCGTGCCTTCACCTCTGGAACTCTTGCTCCTGCCCTGCTAAACTAATTGCTTCAGTTTGGCTTGATTGGACTTAGTTACAGTTTTTGTTGACCATGTTTTGGACTTGATTCCCTGCAGCAAAAGGCTGTTCCTGGGAGAGTTTTTCTCTAACCAGAAAGTAACCTGGATGTTGGGGGCAAAGTTGGAGCTATTAAAGGGACTCTTATTGCTCACAGGGGAGAAAAAGGCCCTGATTCCCTTCATTAGCTGCAGCTAGGAGAACATGATAAGGGTGTTTGCGCACAAAACCTTGCTGGAAGCAAAGCGTGCATTATCTTTGTTTGTCACATCTTATCTGGATTCTGGCATCCTCCCAACTGTGTGTGTTCTGTTATCTTTTGAAAGTCTGCAATTCCTTATCCTGCCCTGTCTCGTTAATTGCTGCAGCGTGGTTTGTGTTGTTTTTTATTTATAATTTATACGCACTTTGGGTTCGGACTGAATTTCTTTCCTTTAAAAATTGTTCTTAGGAGAGTTTTTTCTCCAGCCGATGACAACTGGACATTGGGGGCCAAGTTGGAGGAATTAAAGGGACTTTATCTACTTTTGTGATTTTATTGCTTTTGTGCCATGCCCCGAGTTATCGCAGGTTCCTTTACATGCTATAATATGGAACATTTGTAAAACCAATTCAACCATGTCTATCATGGGATGCTGGGTGATGATTCTTTAGGAATGGCCCTTTTATATGTCCTCTGCAATCTGGTATCTCCATAAAACTGGTGAGTGAGTCCCTCAAGTGCTAGGGATTGGGTGCTGATAATTTAGGTTCACTTGTTCCTTGTCCTCAAATAACCAAGATAAGGCACTTTTGCTTTGAACAGAGCTGGATTTCAGATTTGTACCAAAACCGATGAAACTGAATCAAGACCAGAGGGAGGTCCAATTGGTCCCAATGGGAGATGTGCTTTTGGAATTAGGATCCTGATTGGGGATAGAAATTAGGCCGTTTCTCCTTAGTTCTAAGTTGCTTCTCACTTGATTAGTGTCCATCCATTGCTTCTTGTCTTGCCTTCTGTTTCATGGGAAAATAAGTTGACCCCCTCTTCTTTGTGGCAGCCCCTCAAATATTGGAATACTGCTATCATGTCACCTTTAATCCTTCTTTTCACTAGGGGGACTTCCGGTTTGTTGGCTTCGCGAGCGGCAGGGATTTGCGAAGCTGCGCGATCCCTGCCGCGCTAGCCGTTTTTGGGGCTCCGACCCAGATGGGTACGGAGCTAGGCTGCCCTGCAGGGGCAGCTGAAGGTAGGGGGGATCCGGAGAAGGGTTTGGGGGTGTTGCAGACCCCCTCCCTGGCCGGCAGAACCCCCTTTTCCCAGGACGGTGCAGCGGCGGTCCGTAATGGCCGCCACAAAGAAGCTGGCAGCCGGGTAAGAATGCGCAGGAGGAAGTGGAGAAAGTGCTTGAGAGGAGAAAGTTTTTCTTGGTTCCTAGGACTCTAAGACATATTTAACAAAATTCCTGAAAAGTATGACTTTCTGAATGATACCTTCGAGAAGAGGAAAAAAGCGGCAGTTTAATGGTGCTGAAAGGATAGCTTACCCTCTTTTTTTATGGAATAAAAAGTGAACATTAAGAAACCTATTTTTTTTAGGTGAAAACTGGCTCTAAGCGGTGAGTGGGAAAAGAGAGGACTAAAAAAAAAAAATATTTGTATGCTAAGACTTTGTTGGAGGAGATGCCTTAAGGATTGAAAGACTAAAATATATTGCAATAAGATTTTAAGAAACAGATTTGGACTTTCTTTTTCTTTAATTGATACTACCCCAGGAGGAGAGAGTGGGAACTCTGTTTTGGACTGATTGAGAACTTTGGGATTGTCTTATTTTTCTTTTGGAATATTCTGGCTGTTGTAAGAGAAAAGAAAAGAAAAGAAAAGATTTATAATGGCTTCTTCTATCGAGGAACTGAGAAAAGATTATGAGCAAGCAAAACAAAATGGTAAAGATGGTTTGAAAGAAGCCTTCCTTTTTTTAGAAATGGCGCTTATTAATTATCAACAAACATTGCAACAGATGAAGACAGCAGAAGAAGAACAAAGAGAGGAAGCCATCTTTAATAAATCTCAGAACTCGACCAAGAGGGAAGGAAGAGGAAAAAGAAGAGAAATAAAGGACTTAAGATTTAAAAAAACATTTAAGAAAGGGAAAAACAAGGTGCAAAATCAATATAAGGATGGTAAACAAAAGGGAAGAGGAATACGACAGAGAAGGGAAGCCAGTGAGGCAGAGGCTAGAAGAAGGGGGGCTAGAAAGGTTTGTTGGGGGAAGAAATAAAGGGAAAAGGTGGAGAAAAGCTACAAAGTTTTGAAATTAAATGAGAAAAAAGAAATTTTTTTTAGGGATAAAGGATAAGTATAATTTCTTCAAAGAGATTTTGCAAGGTACATAAGATGATATTGTAGTATTGTATCAGAAATAGAAAATTTAAATGGCTTGAGAGTTGATAAGAGATTAAAATGTTGGAATGTTAATAATGATTGGTTTGAAAATATAATATGAGGGGAGATTTAGAATATTAAACTTTAATTAAAGAGTTTATTAAGACTATGGTACTGATGTTATTATAAAACTTTCATTATAGTATTTTGTTTTTAATATTTAAATCTATTGCTTAACTATGTATTTAATTGTTTTAGACGTATTATTCAGTTAGAATGTACCAAGCAAAATCGGATTGGGTAGTTTAAAGATTAATTTGATTAATTTAGTGGGGAGATAGAAAGGCATCATACTCTGATTAGTGATTTCAGGAGAAATTTCTTTCTTTTTAAAAGGAATGAGACAAAGGTATAATAGAGAATGGACAAAAGATATAAATATAATGACTCAAATTAAGATGATTAATTAAGATAGAATCAAGAAGAGTGAAATATGTGGAGAAGTTAATATAGAAGACTTAGAATGGTAAATAAAATAAGTAATGATATGTAAGATGAGCCTGAATATAATTGAAGTCCATGAAAAGAGAGATACCTGGGTCCAAGTTACTTTCCAAAAAGATCTTTTTTATGTTTTGTGTGTTGTGTGATTATGTTGTTTTTTTGGGGGGGAAATTAACAAAACCTTGTAGAAATATAGAATGAGAATAATGGTAACTAAGTCAGAAAGAAGTAGATGAAATAATAATAATAAAATTGAATAAGAGTGAAGAGAAATAAAGGGAAATTGGATAAGAGGTTTTTGTATGTTTATATGGAAATGGTTTAAAATAGAATTATAGTTTATCTGACTTGTTAAATTTATAATGGAATAAGGTTTAAACATGTAATGGATAATGATGACTTGTATGTTTTGAAAATCAATAAAACTTGTTTAAAAAAAAAATCCTTCTTTTCACTAGAAAATATTAGACCAATTTGTTCTGACCCAAACCTGGTTCCACAAGAGTAAAGACAAGACAAAGGTACCAGCACAACCTTTTACTTGTTCATGTACGAATCCTGTTTCTTCACAGATAAAAAGCTGCTTCCAACTAATTAGCTCAGATAAGAAAGAGCCTTGCCAAGTTTTTGCAAGTCTGCCAAGAACAACAGATAAAGTTCCTAAACAATAAATCAAAGAGTCTCTGAACACCAACTTAGATATTCTAACGTCCACCAGGCTCAGGTATCAAACTTCTTTGCCTTCTGCAAAGAACTGCAGTTTCTCAGCTGGCTTTTATCTTCTCAGGGAAGGGCCATTACCTTCCAGCTTTATTCCTGAGTCGCCCATGCTGCTGCAGCTGCTCTTTCCTTCAAGCAGCCCTGTGCTCATGTGTGTTGGGCACAAGCTTCTCAAGGGCCTCTTCATCATTGCTGCCAGCCTCCACAATCTCCGAAGGCAGCATTTCACTCCCTGATGATCCTGGCCTCATCCCTGCATCACATACAGGCCCTTCATCTGAGTCCTCGCTCTCCAAGACCTCAGCCATCCACACCTGCTGCTGGAGAACCATAATACAATTCCTGAACTCCTGGTGGCACAGTGGTTAGAATGCAGGTAACTCTGGACTTCAGAAATTGATCTAATCTATTGTAGTGAAAAAAAGGAGTCCTTCCTCCTTCCTAAGGAGTTTGATCATGACTGCCCCGAGATTGACTCAGCTTCCCATCCTTCTGAGGGAGTAAAATGAGGAGCCAGACTGTTTGAGGCAATCTACCCTGATCCCCACCCCCAAATATGACTATGTCACAAAGATGTCAGTGGTTGTATCTCTTACAATCATTTGCAAATAGTTAAAGATTTCATATTTTTCAAAGGTAATGTGCTAGTCATTTATGGCTCAAGGTGCTCATCTCTGTTGCAAAGCCGAAGAGCCAGCACTGTCCAAAGCCATCTCCGTGGTCATATGGCTGGCATGACTAAATGCCAAAGGTGCACAGAACACAGTTACCTTCCCACCAAAATCATCCCTATTTTTCTACTTGCATTTTTACATGCTTTCAAACTGCTAGGTTGGCAGAAGCTGGAACAAGTAACTTTACCAAAGACTAGCTGGCAAATGTTCATGTCAAATTCCAGCCATTAACATACTTTGGGGGGAAATTCTTTCTTTTTCTGCTTAGTCTCTACCTCAGTCAAAATGTGCACTTCTGCATTTCTTCTATATGTAAAATGCTCCTTTATATTGAGGTCTGGCCTCAGGATGATAATGTAGCACTTGGGGATGAAGATGCAGACCAGCAGACCAGCATTTGATGACAATATAGAGAAGACCTGAACAGCCACCATGTATTTTCCTTTGATGCTCAAGTAGGTGGGCACAAAACTTACCCAGACACTACAGAAGACCAGCATGCTGAAGGTGATCAACTTGGCTTCATTGAAGGCCCCAGGGAGATTCCTGGCTAGGAAAGCTAATGTGAAGCAGATAGCAGCCAAGATGCCCAGGTAGCTGAGGGTGATGTAGAACATGGCAACAGACCCTTCATTGCATTGCAGGATGATCTCTCCAGGCTGGGAGTGGAGGTCAGAGTCAGGGAATGGGGGAGAAACTCCCATCCAGATGGAGCAAATGATAACTTGGACAGCAGAACAAGAAAGGATGATGGAGTTGGCCAAGCTCTTCCCCAACCATCTCTTCACTCGGTTTCCTGGTTTTGTGGCCAGGAAAGCCAGCACCACCGTGATTGTCTTAGCCAAGAGAGAAGAAATGGCAACTGAGAAGATGATGCCAAACACCATTTGTTGGAGAAGACAGGTGGCATTCCTTGGTTGACCAATGAAGAGGAGAGGAGACAAGAAGCAAAGCAGGAGGGAGACAAGGAGGATGTAAGAGAGGTCCCGGTTGTTGGCTTTGACAATGGGAGTTTGTAGGTATTTAATGAATATGGTCAACACAAAGACTGTAGTTAGGAAGAAGAGTAGGACAAAAGAAATCAGGATGATGCCCAGATGGTCTTCATAAGACAGGAATGTTATGATTTTGGGAATACATTGAACTCGGTCTTCATTTGGGTATTTATCATCTGGACATTTGGTGCATTTTTCTGTATCTGAGAAAGTCAAAAAGCAATATTTCTTGTAGGTTCTATCCTTTTACATTTTAAGTTTTACAGGACAAGAATTCATACCAGGAGCATTTTCCAAGGTGCATTTCTTTACATCTCCACAAAAGAAAAGTAAGAATTATAACATTTCTATAAAAAATATATGGCAAACATCTATGAAATAAGGGAAAGTTCTAGGATTTGAATGATTTCCTGTGAAATGTGCAGAAGCTACATAGTAGCAGCCTACGTTATTATAGGCAAATAATGAATCAGTTAATCTTCCTATGCAAATCTTGTAGTTTCCGCAAGATGACATTTCTTAATATAATGGATTCATAGTATGCCTATCTTGTGAAATCTAATTACCGTGTTTCTCATATAATAAGGCCGGGTCTTTTTTTTTTTTTTTGAGCCCTGAAAAAATGGCTAGGGCATCTTTTGGGGGGTGACTTAATTCCACCCCCTTGCATCTTTGGGTGGGCGGGCAGCAACTGCTTGGATGTTGACCTCGGCTTTGGTGGGGCACTTCGTATCGGGATCAACGCAGGCAGCACCATATCCAGGTGTGCAACAAAAGTACTTCCTAATGGTAAGCCCCCCACCATTCCCCCCATTTCGCATGTTTTAATATAGGCCTTAATTTGGGGGGAGGGGCTTAATTTCATTTCATGCCTATAAAACATGCTGGGACTTCCTATTGGGGGAGGCCGTATTGTTGGAGAAACAGGGTAGCTGACAGAGGAAACAAGACCTGCAAATAATCTGGAATGGCAATTGGGAGAAGAGCTAATACAGTTGTATTGAGGTCCACCTATAAGTGTCCACACGACCTCGTTGTGGATCAGTGGTACCTTCTCAGTGATCCTCAAGGGAAGATCCATATAGAGTGTGTTGCAATAATCCTTCCAGGAAGTGGACCTAAAACAATTCCTTAAGTTTCAGATAACTCAGATAAAAATAAATATGGAAGGATAGAGCCAAAATAAAAAGCAGAAGAGATATTTTCTCTGGCAGTGGTAAAGTTTGCACAATTGGCCACAACACTTCCCCAGCCCCTCCTTCGAGGTCTTTAGCTATTCGTTCTTTTAAATCAGAAATTGTGAATTTTGAAAATAAGTAAGAAAAAAGATGACGTTCAATCTGTCTTTTAACCTGCACTTTCATGAAAATGCTGTACATGAAACCACTTCCACAGGGCCTGTCTCTTTTTCTTTTGGTAGCACTCACCTTCCTGAGTAGAGATGGTCCCTTTTGGACAAGGAACGCAGTCATAGCAGCAAACTGGCTCCCCTTCCCGAGCTCTCTTGACAAAACCAGGATGACAATTTTCTACACATTTGGATTGAGGCAGAGACTAAGCAGAAAATTAAAAAGTGCCAAAAAATATATTAGGACTCACCATGCATGGAAAATGTAGGTGGATATAAACAGCCAAGTAGTTTCTGGGCTCCACTTAGGTAAATAGGAAAACTGTGGCTATTCTGCCTTAGTATTTTTCCATAGAACAAATCTTGCTTAACACGTATACCTCTCAGAGCAAAGTTCACTAAGCTGACAGGAAAAAGGAGCTGATAAGATTAACTTCACAGAAGTCTGTGTCAGATAAAGGATGTGTATTCAGTAAAGACATGTTTCACAGAGGTCTGTGTCAGATAAAAGATGTGTATTCAGTAAAAACATGTTTATCAGTCACAAAGTTCGTTACTTGTATCACGTAGCCTGGTCTCAAAGATTAACTTTGTAACTTCTTTATCTTCCTGCAATCCCTCTCACCCCCCCTCTTTGATTCAGTACAATAAAAGGGGACAGCGCAAAGCAATCGGGGCTGCCTGAACAATCCCATCTGTCTCAGGCACAGCCGGGACAATTCCATCTGCCCCAGGCGATGTGCTGCCTCACCTGAAGAAATTCTTTTGTTTCGTGTTTTCTTTCTTTGTGCTTGGCACTCACTCTTGCGAGAGTCCTGCCTAACCTTACCCTTTCTAGGGTCCTGCTAAATTTCGCCCTTGCGAGGGCTACGCCAAGTTTCACCCTTGAGAGGGTCCTGTCAAATCGCTTCCTGAGGGGAATTCAGCAATCAAGACAGAAGATCGAAACAACAGACCGGTCGCTCGACGCGACAGAAAACTATTTCTAAACTGTTGAAATACAAATATTGACAAATTCTACTCCCCTTTGAAAGTAACCCAAAACCAACTCCCAGTTAAGACACAAACAAAACATTTCTTACAAATTAGGACTGTCCATTTTAAAGGAGATCTTTGTTTTTTGTATAATTTATTGGTTAAATTTTAAACGTTTGTCATGCACTTGATTTAAAAATTTCTACTCGGTTTTAGAATTACATTAGATGACATGGAAGTGAGATCATGAGAACCTGTCCCTCCAAAAGTCAGGCATCTTTTTCTGTAGCACATGGGAAAATGAATATGAGTGCTGATTCAGAAAGAGATATTTCTAAGGCCCAGCCAGTTTTCCAAGAAAAGGTCTTTTCTGTTGAAGAACTACAATCAACTGTCACCAACTGGTGTGGAAAGAAAGACCTACATTTATTCATAGGTAAATTTGGATCCTCCTTTTTTTCCAGAGAGACTTGAGACAGCTAACAATCAAGATAACCAATTGCATTCTGGGGGTTTTCATATGAAATATCCTGTTACAAGCCAAAGGTCAAACCTAAATGGCATTTCCTTTCAAACTGTATCTCATTACTTCAGGTATTAGGAAGGGCTTTTCTTTGAGTCAATGTCATGCTTCAGTTCTTCAGTTATCTCACGTGAGACCCAGTGGTGGGATTCAAAAAATTTTACTACCGGTTTTGTGGTCATGGCTTGGGGGTGTGGTAGGGGAAGGATACTGTAAAATCTCCAGTCAGAGGTGGTTCTCCAAACTACTCAGAATTTCCACTACCGATTCTCCAGAACTGGTCGGAACCTGGTGAATACCACCTCTGGTGAGACCAATCATTACGATTCCTCATAAACTGAAAACCTGGACCCAGGAGTGAGATTCTCCTGGTGTAACATCCGGTTTGCTACTTGCATGCTATCACAATTACTTACCTTCAATGTTCCTTCAGGGAAATAACACAGCTGAGGTGCGGTCATCTGCTCTGCCGTGTTAATCACCTGAGCAGATATAGGTGAGTACAGCGCAGGGGTGGGCAGGCAGGCCCACATGATCGTCGGATCGAACCAGTTTGGAGCCAGCTGATCATTGCAGCTAAGGGTTCACCCGAATCGGTCCCAATTGGGAGAATCCCACTCCTGCCTGGATCTCCTTCTTAGAAGCACAAGACCTATTGTACTATCCCAGTGGGCTGAAAGATTGGAATGAATAACTCTAGCCAATTCTGGGTTGCTTAAAAACATCTTAATGTGCCCTTTCATGTAACACTGACCTGATAGAAAAAAAACTATCCTGCAATCTGCAACACTTACACTACAAAAACATATAGACTACACAACTCGATCAGGGCAAAGCAATAGACACATATCTACATAGACTTCTGTAAAGTCTTTGATTCAGTGGTACATGACAAACTACTCCTAAAACTAAAATCTTACGGTATCTCTGGACACCTGAATAACTGGATAAAAGCATTCCTGTCAAACAGACAACAAATGATCAAAATTGGGAGTGTCCTATCATATTTTGTACCTGTCAACAGTGGTGTCCCCCAAGGCAGTGTTCTAGGACCAACTCTCTTCATACTCTACATAAATGACCTCTGTGATCATATTAAGAGCATCTGTGTTCTCTTCGCTGACAATGTAAAGCTATTCAACACCACAGACAATACTGCTACCCTTCAAAAAGACCTCGACTATGTATCAGAATGGCCAAACAAATGGCAACTTCAAATCTTAACAAATAAATGCTCTGTCTTACATATTGGCAAAAAAATCAGAAAATAAAATACAGGCTGAATAGTCAAGACCTTGTTGTTGATCCAAACTCTGTCAAGGATCTTGGAGTACTTATCTCTAATGATCTAAGTGTTAGAGCCCACTGTAACTACACAGCCAAAAAGGCATTAAGAGTTGTTAACCTAATCTTATGTAGCTTTTTCTCTGGTAATATTACACTACTAACTAGAGCATACAAACTATTTGCTAGACCAATACTCGAATACAGCTCATCAGTCTGGAACCCACATTACGTATCTGATATTAACACAGTTGAGAAAGTCCAGAAATATTTCACAAGAAGAGTTCTCTACTCCTCTACTCGTTGCAGAATACCTTATGCCACCAGACTTGAAATTCTAGACCTAGAAAAGCTAGAACTATGCCGCCTTCGGTCCAATCTAAGTATAGTGTATAAAATCACATATTGCAATGTCCTACCTGTTAATGAATACTTCAGCTTCAACCATAACAGTACAAGAGCAAACAATAGATACAAACTCAAGGTTAATCGCACCAAACTTGATTGCAGGAAATACGACTTCAGCAACAGAGTGGTCAATGTCTGGAGTACTCTCCCTGACTCTGTGGGTTCTTCCCCAAACCCCAAAAACTTTAACCTTAGACTTTCTACTATTGACCTCACCCATTTCCTAAGAGGTCTGTAGGGGGCGTGCATAAGCACACCAACATGCCTACCATCCCTGTCCTATTGTTTCTTTTATTTTTCTTATATGTATCCATGTATTCATAACTATGTTTTTACTTAAACCTATTATCTTGTAAGCAATTGACAAACCAAATAAAATAAAAAAAGTAAAAATAAACTGGGACAAGATAAATCCTGATTTTAAATCCTATTTCCCACTGTGACCAAAAGGACTTCAGTAAGAGGGCTGTGAAAGTATTTACAGACCCCTCACATCCTGGACATTGTTTCAACTCCTACCCTCAAAATGATGCTATAGAGCACTGCACACCAGAACAACTAGACACAAGGACAGTGTTTTCCTGAATGCCATCACTCTGCTAAACAAATAATTCCCTCAACACTGTCAGACTATTTACAAAGTCTGCATTATTATCACTATTACTCTTCTCATCACACCTTATCACCCATCCCCTCCCATTTGTGACTGAATGTTTGTAACTTTGTTGCTTGTATCCTAACGATTTATATTGACTGTTTCCTAGTATGATTTGATTGCTTATTGTACCCTATGACTATATTAAGTGTTGTACCTGATGATTCTTGATTCTTGATGAATGTATCTTTTCTTTTATGTATACTGAGAGTATTTGCACCAAGACAAATTCCTTGTGTGTCCAATCACACTTGGCCAATAAAAGAATTCTATTCTATTCATTGGTTTCAGTCCAAATCTTTGACATGGGTCAACAAAATAGCCTTTTTCTTTTCTCTTTGAGAACAAGGAACAAACAAACCTGAGGCTATCAGCACCACAATCCCTATCACTTACTTTTTTCATGTGGCTTTTACATTCCAACCCTAAGCCATGGTGCAATGTTTTATCACAATTGAAATGGGTCATAGGTCTTTGTCAAATAGAGAAAAGAGATCAATATTTCTCCCACCTTGTTGAGGAGCTTTAGCCGAGACAGAGTATCAGGGTTGATGATAAGTCTTTTTCTCTCATAACTCCCCAGTTGCTCTGGCATTAGTTCCTTATTGGGGAAAACCATTGAACTAATGATGACCAGATCAGCTTCTAAATCTCCATTTTCGTCAAAGTACAGCTTCATCCTGGAAATATTCCAAAATTCATTCTTCTCCAGAAAGGGATGGAACTTGAATGGAACACAGAGGAATTTATTAACTTGGTTTCTTATCCCATTTTGTCTAGTCAACCTTGAGCCACAAAACGAAGGCAAATTCTGCAATGCTAATCACAAACTCATATACAGGAATTTATTTAAAAGTTCATATAACTTTTTTAAACAGGTGTTTTTACTAAATCTGTGATATTTTTCACACTTGTGAACATTATCACATTAACATTATAGGATCCAAAAAGATCTTGACAGGCTTGAACAATGGGGCCTATCCAACAACAAAAAATGGGGCCTATTTCCTTAGGCAGGAAAAACCCAAAAAGATCTTGAGACTTTGGAAAAAGTCCAAAGAGCAGCAATTAAGATGATTAAGGCCTTGGAGACAAAAAAAAAAAAAAAACACCACGAAGAACGGTTGCAGGAATTGAGTATGGCCAGTCTAGAGAGAAGAAGTAGGGGTGACATGTTAGCAGTATTTCAGTATTTGAGGGGCTGCCACAAAGAAGAGTTCAACTTATTTTCAAAAGCACCAAAAGGCAAGACAAGAAACAAAAGATGTGAATAAAGGAGAGACGCAACCTGGAATTAAGGAGAAACTTCCTAACAGTGAGGATAATTAACCAGTGGAATAGCTTGCCATCAGAAATTGTGGGTGCTTCATCACTGGAGCTTTTTCAGAAAAGACTGGGCAACCACCTATATGAAATGGTATAGAGCAGTGGTCGTCAACCAGTGGGCCACGGCTGAGAAAAATTTGGTGGTCCACAGAGAAATGTCATCCGCAGAGCACCCCTCAAAGCAATTAATCCAAGCTGCACGGGAACACAAAGCTGCGCCGCCTACATGGCCCTCAGGAACCCTCCCTGCCCATTCACTCCTTACCTGGCAAACTTGCCAAGTTGCTATTTTTCCTTTCTTTTTTTCGACCATCAGCTGTTCTGCTGTGCCAGGAGATTTAGATTAACTAGAAAGCAGGAAATTGTTGGATTTGTTGCTTTCTAACTAGTTTTTAGATCTTTGGCTCTGCTTTTAAGCAGAGCCAAACCTTCCTTAGGTTCTATTATGCAGTACAGACTCATGGCAAGCAAGTTTTATGTGACAGACTCAGATAGCCGATGGCAGATAGATAGATCTCTGAATGATTCTGTGAGCAACTCAATCTGCCTGCCTGCTTTGTCTGATTTTGGGTAAAAGTTGCTCTTTTTTTATAAAAAAAATAAATATTTACATAAATATTTATAATATTTACATACAAGCCATGCCCAGCCAGTCACATGACCACCAAGCCACACCCACAAATTAGGCCATGCCCACAGAACAGGTTGTTAAGAAATTTGAATCTCACCCCTGCCGCTGTGTGTTTGTGGGGGGAAGAGGGGAGAGAGAGAGGTTAGATCAGATCTCCCTCCCTCCCTCCCTCCCTCTCTCTCTCTCTCTCTCTCTCTCTCTGTCCCTCTCCCACCAACGTCAGCAAGGCACCATCAGTCAAAATTCAAAATTCATATAAGTGGTCCCCAGGATTTAAAATTATGAGTTTGGTGGTCCCTGAGGTTCAAAAGACTGGTGACCCCTGGTATAGGGTCTCCTGCAGGGGGTTGAATTAGAAGACCTCCAATGTCACTTCCATCTCTATTCTGATTGCTAGCCTGAGGGTTTAGATTTGCCAAACCTGTTACCCTCTTGTAGTGCAAGTAGGTTGAGATGGTTCCCCTCTGTTTCTGTTGAAGTAAGATTGATTTATCTTTGTAGGACTCTCTACCTGCCATGGTTGTAGCCTTGGAGCCCAAAGTATCTTGTTGCCCTCCGTCCTTCTCCTCCTGGATGTGCAGGAATATGTAGCATTCAGAGCACGGGCCAGAGTCTTAATGACACTGTAAAAGTAGTGGATATTTTGGACTTTGATCCTGCTTCTTTTTTCTTGGGTCTCAAGTGGTGCTTTCTCAGTACATCTTCTTCTGCCCTTGGCAGAAAATACATTCTTTGAAAAAGAACACTGAAATGTTTGATCTGCAAATGATGGTTCCACAAAGAAACTGGGTTCAAATGCATCCTTTACTTGCCATTCTTTTCCCTTAAAATAAAAAGTCCAGATACTATGCACATATTTGAGAAGCCTGTAATTTTTAATTGGACTTATTAGGACATAGGTCGTGATCCAAACTTTCCCTTCAATTGATCCTGACAAGCCTTCAAGTGTTAAATGGAAAGGAAGGATTCTGTCTGTAAGGGGAACATATTCTATGAAGTGAACAAAAACATTAACTTGCCTCCACTTAGAGAGGGCAGCCCTGAGGGGAGCTATATGTCCAGTTGTTGAGAATTGCTGTGATATAACAACACAAATTCCATTCCTCACAAGCAGAGGAGTGAAAGTCCTCATAAAATTATCTCCATTTTCAGTGTCTGAAGCAAAGAGACCAACCAAGGTCCATCTGAAATGCAGAAGCAATTGGACAAAGGCTGGGTAGAGGAATTCTTTTTTGGGGAAAAGCCGATGGTAAAAAGGCAATTGACTTTTATCATTCAGTGACTCTGAAAATAATTGAAAACTGATCTGAGAAAGCAATGAAGAATGCTGTGTTATATTTGGATTCAGATTAGTTCAAAAATATTAGCTTTAAAGAGATCCAATTTGTTCTCATAAACACATTTAAATAGTTTACTATTTGTTAGTCATTAAGTAAATCCAGATACAGAATAAAAATACATAACATTATAAAATGTTATACAACAATAGTATAAAATAAATTAATTTGAAAAGAAAAAGAATAAAGAATGCAAATCACGTTTCTGTATCACACCTACTATTGACCACAATCAGACCTACACTTGCAAATCTCAATAAATGTTTGTTCAACTAAAGAGCTGTATTCAATTGCTTTTTTTTTTTTTAATTTGACCATACAGGAAATATGTCATTTTAACACAAGGATTCCAAAAGCTCATTCATCTAATATGTAGTTCAAGATACTGCACTCTCCTTGTCTTACACAATTGACATTAAAATAATAGATATGTTAACTCTTCTGTCTCTGGAGCTCTGCTAGTACAAGTCTTTTCATTATAAGGGTCTTGATTAAATCTTCCATATTTAATTATTGGGCCCAAGTGCTGAAATCTTGCTTGAGTAAATAGTGCGCTTAGATGTTTTTTATTTCTTTGTTGGTATATCTGAAATTTTGAAAGTATGTTTGTAATGGCTAATACCTTTCAATGAACCAATATTACTGAGGATGGCTACATCTTTCTCTGCTTGGATTCTTTGTGCAACAATCTTTTTAGTTTTTTCTCCAGTTGTACCAGAGACCACAGCTCCTAATATGATTTGTCAGTTGTAGAATCCAAGAGTCTTCACCTGATTTGTTTTTCTGTTCAAAAATCAGAAATTTGGATGTCTATCTGTTTCTATAGCTTTAAGGTTTCTGTCTTTATATCGGACATGAATACAATTGAGAGAGTCCAGAGATATTTCACAAGAAGAGTCCTCCACTCTTCTGCTCACAACAGAATACCTTATACCAACCAGACTTGAAATGTTGGGATTAGACAACCTAGAACTATGCCGCCTTCGGTCTGACCTAAGCGTAGTACATAAAATTATCTATTGCAATGTCCTACCCATCAATGACTACTTCAGCTTCAACCATAACAATATACAAGCACACAATATATACAAACTCAAGATAAACCACTCCAAATTCGATTGCTTTAGTACTGCATTCTAACCACTGCACCCCCTATTACAGGGGTCTTCAAACTTGACAGCTTTAAGATTTGTGGACTTCATCTCCCAGAATTCCAGTCATGTTAGCTCAGGAATTCTGGGAGTTGAAGTCCAAAAGTCTTAAACTTGCCAAGTTTGAAGACCCTTGTTCTATTATATATTTATCTCCTTTTGCATTTGTATGTAAGGATCCTTGAACCAAAACTCCCTCTAAAACAAGCACAAATAGAAACTGTGTTTTTTTTATTATGGATTTCATCATGAAAATTGTAGGGTAAAAATAGTTGACATATGGGCTCATGAGCTTCTAATTTTTTTTAAAAAAATGTTACTTAATGCAAGTGGTTTCTACAAGTCCATAATACATATGGTAAGATAGCTTCTTGTCATGAATTTGGGATTTGTTTACCATAGAAATAATCATTATTTTGATGAATATTAGTACAAAACATGAGTTTCCCATCACTGCTGCATCTTCATTTTGTACAGAAGATTCTTTGATTTGACACAGAGCCTCTCCTAATCTTCAGTTCTGTGCAGCAGGAACCTCCAAAGCAATGGGGATGGTGTCTTGAGAGGATATAGCAATAGCAATAACATTTAGACTGTGGTTTTTTTAAGTGGTTTTACAGAGTCAGCCTATCGCCCCCAACTATCTGGGTCCTCATTTTACCCACCTTGGAAAGGATGGAAGGCTGAATCAACCTTGACTTTGGTGGGTTTTGAACTGCCAAATTGCAGGCAGCAGAAGTGTTCGGGGTGACAGCACTCTAACCACTGCGCCACTGAGGCTCCTGCTATAACTACTTTGATAATTGTTTCATCCACAATTTGGATCAATCCCCAGCCATGAGACCTATAATGGCCATGGTGAAAAGCAGCTCTTCCATTCCCAAAAAGAAGATAAGTTTGGATCTATCACTTGCCACCACACCTCCAGGCACTTTACCTATAGAAAAACACAGATACACACCTGTGGGATTTTGTAGATGCTTCCTAATGTTGACATTTGGATGGAGATGTCCTTTTTAGATCCATCAAGAAGAACTAAAAGGTTGTCCTTCCTTCCACAGCTGTAGTTAGGAACATTGGCTTCTCCGGTAGAAAGTATATCCAGCAAGGCATCTGATGTCCCAAGTGTGCTCACATAGTTGTCATGGATATTGTAGCCAAGAGTGAGATTTCTCAAGATCCAGGCATCCTTGTTGACCACTTGAATATTAAAAATGTAGCGTGGTATTCTTAGTGTATCATAAGGTATACTAATGTAAAAAATGTTCATGTTATCATTGTCATAATCAATAGTAATAGTAAAATAATTTTTCAATTTAATCCCCTAAGAGCCGTGGTGGTGCAGTGGTTAGAATACAGTACTGCAGGCTACTTCTGCTGACTGCTGGCTGCCTGCAATTCAAATCAAACCAGGCTCAAGGTTGACCCAGCTTTCCATCCTTTTGAGATTGGTAAAATGAGGACTCAGATTGTTGGGGGCAATATTCTGAATCTATAAACTGCTTGGAGAGAACTGTAAAGCACAGTGAAGCAGTATATGTCTAAGTGCTATTGCTTTGTATCCACAAGTCTTCTGTTTCTTACGCCAATACTGATCCATAGCTAAAGGTAAATGATAGTCCACTCATCACCATTTCATTTTTATGAATGTTGGGAAAATGAGATGGGGATAAAAACCTCCTTCGTGGATAATAATCAGAAATATACCATCATCCATCCATCCATCTATTCTTTCATTGAATTTCATTCAAGGACCCATCTCAGTCAATGACTCTGGGAAGCTTACAACTCAGGAAATATATTACAAGTTTAAATTAAGGAAAACATGTTAAAATAATAAAAACAGTAAAACCAGTAAAAACATTACAAATATCTCAATTCAACATACACAAGAGCAGGGTATTTGGATAGTTAGATAAAGCCAGGAACCCTTGACACATTCAACATCCCAGTCTTGGGAACAATACTAACTAGGACTTAAAATCATTCAATCGTTAAAGTAGAGCCATCTTAATAGGAAGACACTGTTTCACCCAGAAAAGCATTTCTAATAGCAATTTATGACCCTTTCAATTGCTACTTTAAACTAAAGTCAGTATTCTGACTTTAATCCTCTCATCCTTCCTTTCACCCATCTCCTCCCACTTGTGACTGTATGGCTGTAACCTTGTTGCTTTTATCCTAATGATTTTTATTGACTGTTTCCTAGCATGATTTGATTGCTTATTGTACTCTGACTATCATGAAGTGTTGTACCTTATGATGCTTGACTCTTGATGAATGTATCTTTTCTTTTATGTATACTGAGAGTATTTACACCAAGACAAATTCCTTGTGTGTCCAATCACACTTGGCCAATAAATAATTCTATTCTATTCTACCTTATGATTCTTAATGAATGTATCTTTTCTTTTATGTATTCAGAGAGTATTTGCACCAAGACAAATTCCTTGTGTGTCCAATCACACTTGGCCAATAAAGAATT